TGGAGAACATCTGTATAATGGTTAAGAGCTTGGATACAAAAACCTAAGGCTGCTAGGGTTCAAATCCCAGTCATTCCACTAGTTTGTGATGTAACAGTTTGCCCAGTCTTGCTGTTCATTAAATGGGACAAACCGTCTCTCCCACATAGTTGTGAGCCGCGCGGTGCTAGGCAGCATGATAAGCTCCAGTTTTTCTTGGAGATGGTTCCAAGGCACCCACTTTAAGCTTCTGTCATTCAGCACCTCCACGGCCTTCTGAAGTCCCCCTCCTATTACCCCTGTGTCAGCTTCTCTTCTCCTAACCCCTTCCCAACCTCAGCTCCTTCCACTACCACCTCTATTTCACAGGATTCCCTGCCATAGCCCCAGGCTACCTCCAGCCCCCAGCCCTGCCTCATTTCCCACTAACCTTTCATTCTGCCCACTGAGGTACTCTCAGCCCCTCCCAGTTTCCATCCTTCCACAGTCCTCCCTGCCACCCGACCTTTCCCTCCCAGGCCTGCTTTCCCATGGAACCACCCCCAAGGCAGGTCCTCACCGCCAGAAGTATGCGGATGGGAAGGGAGCGTCACCATTCTGCCTTCTCACTCCGCAACAGTCCTTAGGATAACATCCTACCTGAGGGTCAACTCTCTCCAACTACACCGCTGACCATGGTGCTTGAAAATATTGCAAATATCTGACAAATCCAAAGTCCTCACCATGGCCCACAAGTCCCTGCCTCCTGACAGCCCGTCTCTCTCCCTCATTTTCCATCACTCCTCCCCATTCCCTGCGCTGCAGCTGCACCGGCCACCTCGCAGCTACAGCTCAGGGCCCGGCTCTGATGCTCCTCCAGAAAGTCTGCATCCCTCACTTCCGTCAGGTCTCTCTGCTCAAAGGTCACCTCCTTAGAGAGGTTTCCCAACCATCCATTCTAAAATAGCACCTACCCTGCCCCTTGCTCTCCTTGACCTGCTTTATTGGCCTTTGTAGAACGGATGTGATTTGGAACGACATTATTCCACTATGTCTCATGTTCTCTGTCAGGCCCTCAAAGGCAGGGGCCTACTGAAAGGGCCTAAAACCTCTCTGCTGCCCTCCGTTTTCCTCCATTTCTTCAGTCACGAAATGTTCTGCTCCAGCCATGTGCCCCGCATGTCTGAGGCTTCAGCGATATGGAGGGAGACATGTTTGTTGAAAATGCTTACCTTGGGGAGGGCTGAGCAAGGTCAGGTGATGTGAAAAGCCTGGGGTCTCAGTTCAAATCCCGGCTGTGACCTCCTGCCTCGGTCTCTTCATCGGTAACATGGAATTAATGTAACTACCTGCAGGACTGGCATGAGAGTTCCTTGTTCATTTCTGTGCCTGACGTAGAACACCTCGGTAAAAGTTAGCGATTAGCCATAAGAACAGGTTACTGCTGGAACTTAAGAGAAAGCAAAATAAAGGAAAAAATTGGTCAAGCCATGAACAATTTTGCAAGAAGCTGGTCCTTCTCACAGCATACAAAAGGATTTACATGTCTTATGGTTCTCCTAGAACTTCAGACCCAATCGCTCTTAAAATGCAGGTCAGGAAACAAAGCAGAAGAGACTCCGCTGGCCTTGCTCAACCTATAGGGCCAGTGACTGCAGGAATGGGCCAGCCCTGCCCGTGCACACGCAGCCTTCGGTCCTCCAAACTCGAAGTAAAGATACGGGTGTCCCTGGCGGCAGGGTTTTGTTTTTTCACCTTTTCAATCAACTTCACTGCAGTATAAATTCCATACAATGAAATGCCATCACCCAGAAAATTTCCTTGTGTCCCTTAGTGGTCAATTCTCACCCCAAAGATAACCACTGGTATGATTTTTGCCACATGGATCAGTGTTGCTTGACTTTGTAATGGAATCATATGTACTCTTTTTCCTCCATTTTTTTTTGACAGCTTTAGTGAAATGAAGCAGTAAAATTAATGTGCATAAACTTCACCTAAAGTATACAATTTGAAGTGTTTTAGCATATGCCCCCCTGAAGCTATTAGCACAAGATAGTTTCAAGATAATGAACATATCCATTACCCTGAAGTTTCCTCCTGTACCCTTGTATTCCATCCCTCCCTTCCCACCCTAACTACTGATGTGCTTTATATCACTACAAGCTAGTTTGCATTTTCAAGAATTGTTTAGAGAGTCATCCAGTACGTTCGCTTTTATACCTGGCTTCTTTCACTCAGCATAATTATTTTGATGCATTCCTGTTGTTGTGTCAATACTTCATTCCTTTTGCCCCTTAAGCAGCATTCCATGGTATAATATACCACAACCTGGTTATCCACTCATTTCTTGATAAACACTGGAGTGCTTCCAGTTTGGGACTCTTAGGGGAAAAGCCACTATAAACATTCTTATGCAAATATATTTGTGAACATTTGTTTTCATTTCTCATGGAATTGCTGGGCCACAGGGTAGATGTATAAAAAAGTGCCACTCTTTTCCCCCAAGTGGTTGTACAATTTTACACTCTCACCAACTGGCTGAAGTTTAACATCAGTCTTGCTCCTGGCTCCTGGCTTCTGTACTTGTTCCCTCTTCCTTAAATGCCTTTCCACTAGTTTTAGCATGGCTGGTTTCAGGTCTCAGCTCGAATGTCAGATTCCAGAGACTGTTACAGATTGAATTGTGTCTCCCCTACAACCTCATTCCTACCTAAATTTGCAGGTTGAATTCACAGAGCCCCCAGTACTTCAAAATGTAACATATTCGGAGATAAGATCATTAAAGAGGAGATTAAGTTAAAATGAGCCTATTAGGGTGGGACCCTAATCCAATATGACTGTGTCCTTCGAGAGGAAAAGATCCTAGGAAAGGTTCTGTGAGGACACAGTCAGAAGGCAGGCCATCTGTAAACCAAGGAGAAAGGTCTCAGGAGAAACCAAACCTACCAATACTTTCATCTTGAACTTCCAGCCCCAAGACCTGTGAGAAAACAAATTTCTGTTAAACTACCAGTCTGTGGTATTTTGTTATGGGCAGTCCAACAAACTAATACAGGGGCCTTTCAATCACCATTTTGCAACAACAACAACAACAAAATTAATAATAATAATAGATTCAGGTAAGAATCATCAATGAATGCTAAAACCAATGGTAAGAGTTTGGTAAAGAATAGGATAGTCCCGCCCAGGCCAGTTTGGCTCAGCAGTTAGAGCGTCGGCCTGCGGTCCGGAGAGACCCGGGTTCGGTTCCCGCTAAGGGCACGTACTTCCGTTGCAGTTTGTCCCTGGCCCTGGTTGGTCGTGCGGGTGGCAGCCACTCGATGTGTCCCTTCACGTCGATGTTTCTCTCCCTCTCTCCCTTCCTCTCTCTCCCTCCCACTCTATCTGTACAAAAAATGGAAAAATATCCTCGGGTGAGGATAAAAAAAAAAAAGAATAGGATAGTCCCAAAATTTCTTTCTATAAGATGCTTAATAGTTACAAAGGGAAAAATAGTTAACTTTTCTGTGGAGTACCTTGGTGGACACCACCTTAATCAAATGATTCAAGTTAATATCACCAAATATTGGGACAAACCAATGTCATGCGCCTCCCATTGTGATATATTGAGAACACAACTTTTGGTAGTATTCCTGACAAAATGCATAACCCAAATCTAATCATGAGAAAGTATCAGACAAATCCAAATTTAGGGGCATCTACAAAATAACTTTCCAGTACTCTTCAAAAATCTCAAAGTCATGAAAAACAAAAGAGGGTTAAGTAACTAACTGCCTTTCCAGGTTAAAGGAGATTAAAGAGATATGCCAACAAATGCTACAAGTGATCTTGAATTGGACCCTTGGGAATACACATACCTTAAAGAATATTATTGGGACACTTAGCAAAATTTAAACATGGGAAGTATATTACATAAAAGAATCCTATCATTATTAAAATCTGATTTTGATAACTGTTCTGAGATTATGCACTAGAATGTCCTTGTTCCCAGGAAATACACACAGAGTATATGGTGATAAAGGGACATGATGTCTGAAACTTACTCTAAAATGATTTAGGAAAAAACAAAATTCCTATTATATACACACATACATGAGAGAACATGATAATGAAAATACAGCAAAATATAACTCGTCATTCTGGTTGTTATATGAGAACGCTTTACTATTTTTGCAATTTATACATACTTTTGAAATTTTACATATAAAAAAAGTTACTGTCTTTAAGTAACTATCAGAAGTGGCCTGTCCCCATCCCTCAGGTACTCTTTAGCTCATTCTTTTCCTCCATCACACTTATTGCCAAAAGTTATTCTGTGTCTTTAATAATACCGATTTATTGTGTGCAACGCCCTGTCCTGTTTTAAGTGCTTTAATTGTATAATCCCAGTGAATCCTACAACTACTGTTTCTCCCATCTTACAGATGAGGAATGGAGACACAAGAAAGTTGATTAACTTGCCCAAGGTGACCTACATGATTTGTCTCCCATGGCACAAAACCTCACCTAAAGTAGTAACTGTTGTTCGCTGCTCTTTCCCCAGCAACTTAGAAGGGTGCCAAGCACATAAGAGGAATTTACTAATTATCTATAGATTCGGTTAACAAATATTCGCACTTAGTAGGCACTGGGGTACAAAGCAGTGAATAAAATATTTAAAAAATCCATGCAACCCTGGGATTTTGCAGAAGAGAAAAATAAGGCTCGTATTTACCCAAGATCAAGGGGCTAATTGGAGGCAGGATGTCGATTCCCACCTAGTCCGGGCGGTTCCCAGGAAGGAGCTATTATAAATCAATCAAACCGACCAATCCTGTCAAGCAATCAGTATTTATTAAGCGCCTACTGACTGTAGGTTATCCACACGCAGCACTGGCAAGGAGAGAGGTGGCGGTGCGCGGGCCGCTGCGGAGACCCGGAGGCCCAAGCGTTTCACCGGAATTTGGCGCCTACTTTTGTAGGTTGGGTATTCTCGCCTGTGATTGGGCCCCGTCTGCGGCTGCTCCGTCCACCTTGGCAGAACGCGGGCCGCACGGTACTCGACCGGCCGCCGGGGAATGGGCCACCAAGAGCCCCCGCTGGCGGGCGTGCCCGCGGGAGGTGCGGCTTATGTAAAGAGGTTATGTAAAGGGGTCAGCTGGCGCCAACACGTGAAGAGCCGCGGGAGCCTGGACGCCGGCTTCTCCCATGCGCACGCCGTTGCTACATCCAGGGCTGCACCGGGTTCCGGCGCACGCCCGGCGCGGGCCATTGCCTCTCGCGCTGCTCGGTACCGAAGGCGGCCCTGGCCGGGATCTGACCATCCCCAGCCCGAGGCTCCAGGGGGGAAACCTGCCGCCCGGAAGTGGAGGGGCTCAGGCCAGGTAAGGACGCGGTCTGCGGGGTAAAAGTAATTGTAGAAGCTAGAGCTACCCCCACCGCCTTGGGCCCTTGGGAAGAGCAAATGGGCCCGGATTTGGCGCGCTCAGGGACACCGAACTTTTAAACCAACCCTCTCCACCCGCTGCTCTCGGAGACTTGGGTCGGTCCGCTCGGCTCCGCTCGGGCTTAATTCAATGAACGGTTTACATGCTGGAGAACACAAGGTGGGACACAGGGAGGGGGACTCCCCCAGCGGGGCAGGTAGGAAAAGAGATTTCCACAGTCCTAATTGCTTTGTAAGGCGATTTTAATAAATCGTGAAGTCTTTTAGGACTTGTTTTTCCAACTCCTACCTGAGAAGTTAACTGAGAAAGTGGGGAGGGGGTGCTCTTCTTCCCGGTTCCCCTCTGAGCCACTGCCTGTGGTTTCGTCTTTCCCGCTTTCCCCTCCCCTCCGTGATTCTACGGTGGCTTCCGTCTTAAAGGGGCCGCGGCGGCCGGAGGAGGAGGAGCTGGACGCTCTGGCCTGCGTTCCCTGCCCCCCCGACTCGGCCTGGTCGTTTAACCGATCCTGTCCCCAGCAGGTCACAATCCAGGCTCCCGCTCCTCCGCGTCCCGGGGCCGGACGGAGGGATGAGGCAGGGGGGCCCCGGGCAGCGCCGTTGCTGCTCCCCCCGCCGCCCGCAGCCATGGAAACGGGGAAGGAGGACGGCGCCCGCAGAGGTACACAAAGCCCCGAGCGGAAAAGGCGAAGCCCAGTGCCGCGGGCGCCCAGCGCGAAGCTGAGGCCGGCGGCTGCGGCCCAGGCCATGGATCCGGTGGCGGCTGAGGCCCCCGGCGAGGCCTACCTGGCGCGGCGGCGGCCGGAAGGTGGCGGCGGGTCCGCGCGGCCGCGCTACAGCCTGTTGGCGGAGATCGGGCGCGGCAGCTACGGCGTGGTTTACGAGGCAGTGGCCGGGCGCAGTGGGGCCCGGGTGGCGGTCAAGAAGATCCGCTGCGACGCTCCGGAAAACGTGGAGCTGGCGCTGGCGGAATTCTGGGCCCTGACCAGCCTCAAGCGGCGCCACCAGAACGTGGTGCAGTTTGAGGAGTGTGTTCTGCAGCGCAACGGGCTAGCCCAGCGTATGAGCCACGGCAACAAGAGCTCGCAGCTTTACCTGCGCCTGGTGGAGACCTCGCTCAAAGGTAGGGCACTGCGGGCCGTCCCGCCGCGCGGGGCCTGGACCTACTGCTGGGGACCGCTCGGTCCAGAGGGACCTCGGGACCAGTAGGGCCTGGTCCTGTCACCCAGGGCCCAGACACACCCTCCTCTCTGGGCCCAGGCTTTGGGGCTCACGTCTCAGCTTAGTCCCTAGGATAGTCCCTGGCGCAAACATTAGCTGGTATTTTCATAACAAGCGCTCGCTAAGTTCTAACCATTGTCTTAATAAGTGCTCCATACGTGTGAGCCATTATTATGAAACGTAAGATCGGTGGGGGATTGGAGGGGGGTGGGTTCAGAGTTGGAAGAACTGCATAAGCCCCCGGATCCTCTTCTCTTTGCCTCTCAAAACAAAAAAGAAAAAACTTGACTGGACCTATCAGCACCCCCTCCTAGTCTGGTGCTAAACATCTTCACAGCCCCCTGCCCCAACTCCAGCTGCAAACTTGCTTCCTAGTCTTCCTTTTCCTCCGAGACTACCAGCGCTTGTCCCAGGGCAGTCAAGCCAACTGTCGGTTTTCTGTCTGTGTCCTCTGGGGCCTGCGGAATAACCACCCCGCAGGTGGGCCCCGAGCTGTCACATAACAATATCCAACAGCTTTCTCGCCCTCTTTACATTCTTCATCTTTTTCTTAATCCTCTGAGACTGGCATGGAAGTGGTTTTATTTATAGGAAATATGGCTCAGTGAGGGTGGGGGGCTTTGCCATCCTTGGGAAGGCTAACCCTAGTTTCTGAGTTTTCTTTGCGTTGGGGAATGAGTTAATCCTGAGTCCTCAGAACTCACATACCTTGTTCATGCTAAGGGTTCAGAGAGGAGAGGGCCAGTGGGCTAGAAGGGTCTGAGGAGACTTCTTCAGAGGAGAGGTTACTAATCTGAGTCCCAACTAGGTCCTAGATGTCTTCCAGAAGTGACTTTAGGTAATAATTCTAAAAGCGGAGAAATTAAGGATTAGATGTGAACAATGATGAAGGTTAATCAGCTTGTAAGGGGAAGCCACTTGTACTGCTGGTTTCTTTACACTTTTTTTTTATAGCTCAAGTGATGTAAACCCAGATTTGTCTTGATTCAAGACCTAGATCCTTTCAAATGGGTAATGGTGCCCTCCTTACCTCAGGATGAACTAGAGCTGACCTTTAAGAATGGGTAAGATTTGGGTGGGTTTGCATAGGGCATTTTGTTTGGAGCTTTTGCCTGACTTTAAGGTCCTACAAACTCATCCTAAGAGAACTTCCTGTCCCATTTCAAGTCAGTATTTGACAGTGGGTTGAGGGACATGATGAGTATCACCTGGGGTTCCTTTTCAAACTAGGCTTCCGCTTTATATGCCCACCCCTGCCCCATCCATCCTGAAAAGCCCACCCTTCCCCCTGTGTGAATAGATTTGTTTTGGAAAGACTTTCCAGTAGAGTTCTTTTAGCTCATCTGTATTTTACAAGCTCTTTACTTCCGTCTCAGACCATCTGGACTTCAGCGTTACCCACCTGCCTTGGGATGTGGGGATTTGCTTTGCCAGAAGATCCCCTTTTACCCTCAGTTCATTGATGCCAGTCTTGAAATTGCAACCTGGGTTTGAAGTCTTTCCCTACCAAAAATACATTTGACCCTTGAAAAACACAGGAGTTAGGGACCCTGACCTCACCCTCCCCACACACACAGCCGAAAATCTGTGTATAAATTTCGACTTTCCGCAGACAACTACTAATAGCCTGCTATTGACTGGAAGCCTTAGCAGTAACAGTGAATTAATTTGTATTTTGTATGTTACATATATATATTATATACTGTATGCTTGCAATAAATTAAGCTAGAAAAAAAGAAATGTTATTAATAAAATCATAAGGAAGAAAAAAAATACATTTACAGTATTTATCGAAAAAAATCAGCATATAAGTGGACCTGCACAGTTCAAGCCCTTGTTCAGGAGTCAACTAGACTGTTAAAACTTTCCCCACCTGTAGAATTTGTCACAACTCCACAGTAAACGGTGGTTGATACCATGGGCTTTGTTAGACTCACTTTTAGTCATGGCTTGTCTGAACTGACTGCATGAGACTTGGGACAAGTTGTTTCGAACCTGTGGGGAGCATTCCTTTATCCCTAAGATAAGGGTACCTGTGTCATGGGGTTGCTGTGCAGCCTAGGAGTGCCAGTAAGTGCCCCAGATAAGGAGCAATTTTGCCTCATTAGGTTCAGGCTGTATTTTGCATCTTCTGCCATTACCCCCAATGAGATTCACATTGTTCTTGTTCAGGTTTCCCAAATTTGTTTGACCACGGAAAACATCCTATTTCCTGTGTTGTCAGGAACCAAGTTGACAGAAACACTGGTATTTTCTTTCTTTGTGAACTAAAACGGGCCTACAGACATGAAGTATGTTGCTTTAGGTCACATGCTTTCAGTAGTTTGGAGTGTTAAATATTTGAGCCTCTATTGTGGGTCAGGTAATGTTCTGGGCTAGGAAATGGTGCTGAAGAGTAAAGCCATTGCCTCCCCTTTTGAAACTACCATTGAAATTTACATGTCAAATGTCCATTTAGAAAGCAATAAATAGATGTTCAGGTTTGGGTTTTGTTTGTTTGTTAATAGGTTTTTTATGTTTTTGGTTTGTTTGGCTTTTTGGCTAATAATTTTAAAGTGGAGAACAAAGACCCAAATTACTCCATTTTTCTGGCTTCAGTTTCCAAGTTTAGCAGTCTTAATTTAGCAGATTTAGCAATCTGCTCTGGGGTACTGACTTCACAACATACTGACATCATTTAGAAATATTAGAGCCGGAAGGAATCTTAGAAATAATCTGGTTCAGCACTGTCATTAAATAGAAAATAATTTGCAGCTACCTTTTCCCAGTCTTCAGTAATTTAGGATAATTTTGAAACAGACCAAAAAGTCTTAATCTGCCTCTAAGTCTCAATTGAACCAAATCCACATACGGGCATACCTCCTCCAAGAGGTATGGTTCCAGACCACCACAGTAGAGCTGGTCATAATCTTTTTGCTGGTGGAAGATCTTCAGGTTTTTTTTAAAAAAAGAAGCGCAATAAACGAGATATGCCTGTACCTTTACTGACACTGTAGTGTTATTTATCTTAACTTTATTTTACAAGCTCTTTATTTCATTCTCGGACTGCCTCCTCCTTCACTATGGTTAATGAATGGTCTGGACTTGCACCAGAGGAACTTAATTTGAAAAGTTTGAGGACCTGTAGAATTAAATGCTAATCAAGGTCACCGGAGGAAAAAGCAGGTTGGCTCATTAACAAGGGCTTTGTACGGAATGTTGTATAGAATTAACAAGAATGAGAATCAGAAGTTGGCAGAGAAGGTGGGCTTGAAAGAAGGGAGCCTAGGACCATGAGGACAGGTGGAGAAGGTGAAATAATTGATTTCCAGTTGGGCCAAATAGAGAAGAGTGTTTTTCCCCCATTAGTGTCAACAGTAGGGAATACTCAGAGGCATTTCTGTAGTCTTAAATTATCTGACATATAAATAATCCAATATCCAAAAGAAAAGGGAAACTTAATGCAGTTCTTGGTCTTCTCCAACTTCGTTTAATAGACTTCTGTTAAACATACACAAGTCCCACCCAGACCATTATGTGGACAACAGACACTTCAGAGTCAATAGCGGTCTTAGGTGTCGATCTGACCTTGTTTCCCAGGGAAGGAAACTGAAGCCCATAAAAGGCACAGGACTTTCCCCAAAGGAGTTAGTGGTAGCATTTAAACCAGCCTCCCAGGCTTTTAAACACCAGGTCAGCAATCCTGGAAATTACTTGGTTGATGACTTGGTGTCTTTATTTAACTTTTAAATACTTATCACAAAACAGTTAAATCATCAATAGTTTACCTCCTTGTTTCCATTGCTAAAAGACGCTGTCTTGAAAGCAGCTAAAACTAAATTCCAGATTATTGCCACTTAAAAGATAGCAGACAAAAAAGGAGAGAGAAAGAAATGAGACAGCAGGCAGGCCTGAGGTCAGAAATTCTGGTGTTCTCTCTAAAGAGCACACTGATCCTAAGGATAAAAAAAAATTACAGAACAAACTCTCAAGGCTCATAACACTGAATTAGAAAGCTGGGAACCTAGTTTATCCATACTTGGTAAACAGTAGCTCTGCTTTACCTATTATTTGATGTTTGCTGGTCTCAAGAGACCTTTAGGTGGCTTGACATGGGTGGGAATCTTGGCCCTGGTGGGGGATAGTGTCACCTGTGCACCCATGCCTAGTGAAGACTGTGGGCCCGGCACTGTATTACAAGAGGCTACACAAAGTTTCCTCATTTGGGCAGAAGACATATGCCCAAATGACCACAGTGCAAGGTCACGAGTGATGGGTATCCTAGAAAACAATAGGGTTCCCTCTGGGAGTATAGAGGCATCTAGTAAGCTGAGAAGGAAGTAGTGAGGGGAGAGTCTTAGCAGTGGATTGGCTGTCAGCTTGCAAACTCCCCTCAGCGTGTTGAGTGCCTAGGGGAACCTTAGGCTCGGCACTAGGCCACCCCTGCCCAGGCCTCTAGAAAGCAGCTTTGAATTCTCTACTGTGCTTGGGCCTCAGAATTTAGAGATCCCTCAGGTAAAGGCAGAGAGCTGAACTGTGATCTTTGGCTGTCATGGCAGTGACGTAGATAAAAGGGGGCATTAGGGGACTTGGAAATTAATGGGATACAATAGAACACTGGTCTTGACTTGGAGTCAAGAGGTGTTAGTCCCAGTTTCACCCTGTTAGTAAGAGTTAAAACTTACTGGTTATGATGTGCAGGTCTGTTCTAAAGGGTTTATACCTGTTAACTGATTCAGTCCTCAGATGCCCCTTTGGGAGTCAGTACTATAATTGTCCCTATTTTACAGGTGGACAGTAGGCTCTGAGGTTAATGAAATTGCCCAGGGTAAAAAGCTAATTTAGCCAGGACCCAAGCCCAGGCATTCTAGATTGAGTCTGAATTCCTTTTTTTTTTTTAATTTATTATTTTTTTAGAGGTTT